GCCATATATATATATATTATCATCTTTCTAGTAAAAATTGTAATTATGTATATGTACTTAATGATATAATTTTTTGACAATAAGAACATATAAGATGATGAGCAGAAGTGTTATGATGTAAGAAACTAATTGTCTTTTCTTTGCATCGAACGATAAGTGTGAAAAGTACTCAATGTTTACACCATATACACAAATGAACTTGCTTCTGTTTATCATTGCATATATATATATATCCGAAATGGAAATGACGATCGATGATGATGATGATGATGATACACTAGCCAATTAGGATTTATATATTAGTGAGAGACAGACTTTTTTTTCCCATTATCGATCATCGATGCGCTCTATTGATATTGCTGATGTTGCTATACATTCCATCTAGTCAAACTGATAGACAGGCAAGTGAGAAAGGCGTGTCTGTCGATTAACAACAATTAACACGAGTACTATTCGTTGTGGTAGCAACAGAGGAAAAAAAAGAAGATGAGGATCATCGATAGTATGTGCGTGTTGGGGATGGTTCACCTACCAAACACCATACATATATATATAGATAAGTAACAATCACCATACACATTTCAATGTGATGTGATGTGATGATGATCGCGCGTGCGTTTGCATACCAAACAAGTTGACTTTGCTCGTGCACGCACGCGCACATCCATCAGTCTCAGTTTCATTTCTTACTATGAGTAATAAATATACATTCCTTATTCATACATACTTTCTGTCTATAAGAAAAGATAAGTAATATATATATATATATTGAATCGATATATATATATATATACAATTTACAGATGATGACAATAATAACAAAAACTACTTAATTCTAAACAGATGAAAAAATAATCTTGGACATTGTACTTTATATGAAGGCTTTCTCTGTTTTTCTCTTTTTTTTTTGCATATATATATTCTATCAGGTTAAAAATAAAAAACGAAAGAATTTGATATGCAAAAAAAATTCTCTTTTATTGATATCACTAACGGATAATGTGTTCAGTCCATTCACACATCTAAGTAGTGGGCGTCTCTACAATTCCACTTGACACGTCAATCTTAAGATCAAATAGTGATCGCTACCGTTATGATGATGATGGTGATGAACACCGTACGTGATTCTTTTTTTGTTTTCATGCTTCAACGAAATATAAAGCAAAGATGATGAGATCACCTGCCTTTTAAAAAATGAATTCTATCCTTTTTCTATTCCCTTAAGATATGAAATAAAAAAAGAACAAAGATGAATATATATATATAGTAAGGCATTATCATGAATGCGGTAGTATTGATAGAACAAGACTATACAATTTCAATTTCTTCTCTGATGGTTTTGCCAAAGGGCAAAATATATCATGCCATATTATTCCAGTAGTAGTATCTTGAGAACAGCGAAAAAACAATTCATCGATTGGACGAATATTCTTTATGTAAAATGATTCTTCTCCTTTTTTTTCCTCACTTGAATATTTATTTGGCCAACAGCACGAGTTGTCCATCTTCATCATTCGTTCGTTTTATTCTTATTCTGACCAACCATTCTACATCATACACACGATCTCGCGTGCGTAGATATGTGTGTGTGTGTGTGTGTGTGTGTGTCGAGACACACGAGAGAGAGAAAGAGAGCTAACAAAAAAAAAAAAAAAGAAAACGTACAAGGAGAAAAGAGAGAATAATTATAGTGCAATTGCCAAGACAACGAATCAGAATACATACATATATAGATAGACATACGAGTATATCACTTCTCAAAAAATATTAGATCCTGTTCACGCGTATACGCGACTATTCATATTATAACAAGAAAATAAAAAAGAAATGCCTACTGATCGTTTTGCACCTTATCCATTACCATCTCATATTAATCACAGTGAATATCGAAAGGTAAGAAAAAACAAAATGAATAATTGATTAATGTAAAAGAAAATTTGCTTTTATTAGAATGCAAAACCAATTATGGAAAAACGAAGACGAGAAAGAATTAATCGAAGTTTGGAAGAATTAAAAAATCTTATTCTTGATAATGCAACAACAAATGTAAGTAACAATAAAATTTATTTTCTATTGTAAAAATTTTAATAATTTATCTTTTAGAATGTACGTAGTCATAAATTAGAAAAAGCAGATATTCTTGAAATGACTGTTAAACATTTACGAGCTGTTTACAAACATAAATTAGCTAGTAAGAAATTAAACAAAAAGAAAAAAATTATTTTCCCATGTAAAAAAATTGTTTTTTTTTCCTCTAGCTGCTGCTGCTGTTGATCCAACTATAGCTTCAAAATATCGTGCTGGATATGGTGAATGTGCTAATGAAATCATACGATTTTTAACTACAACACCAAATGCTGATTTAGAATTAAAAACTAAACTTATATCACATTTATCAGCTCGTATACAAAATCTTTCATCATTATCAATTTTACCACCTATTCAACCATCATTATCACAAATACATCCAACAACTAGTTTATTAACAAAAACTGATCGTTATTCAGTTAATTCATCAACAAATAATCAGTATATTTTTATTTTACCTCAACAACAACAATTACAACAACAAAAAATTCAAAATTTATCAACAACATTTGATGATGATGTTGATTGTAATTCAACATCATCAAATAATTCAAGTGATTGTGAATCAATTAAATCAGAAACACGAACAACAACAACAACAACAGACAGTCTAACAAGTACAATGATTGAATCGCCATCAAAAGTATGGCGACCTTGGTGACCTATAAAACGTTTAATTTTTGCTGTTGTTGTTGTTGTTTTATGCATTGTTATTTTGTGTACATTTAAGAAAAAAAAAGAAATGTGTCTGTATGCAATGTTAATCCGTATCTTCGACAGTTTATTAGAAGGTGATGAGATGCGAAAGTTAATTTGAAAAAATGTTTACACCTATATATATATATATACATGTTTAGTATGGTTATATCTATTGCTCCTGATCTTTTTACGATATGTATGATGAGTGTATTATAATTCTTGTGTACACATAGACAAGGTGGAGAAACAAGTGTTGAGATGCGCTTATTTTAACGAGATTTCAAATCATATGAATACACTTGAATATGAAATAGAGATGCATTAGTCCTATGTTAGTTCTTTACTGTCTCAATTAACTTGACGTTTGGTTGTTTTCTTTTTTTTTTTTTTTTTTTTGTGTTTTGTTTCGACGATATGACAACGACAAGTGTAGAACAATCAATCTTCGATATTGATGATAATGAGAACAGGCAAAACTTAAGTTAAAAACAAAGTAGAAAAACGAAAGAAAGAAAGAAAGAAGTTTTGAGATATATTAATAATGACTTGGATGAATAATGACTTGAAAATGAGACATTTGTATATGCATAGTAGATAGAGATTGCAAAAAAAAAATATGAACAATATCAATGACTAATAGGTGTGTTCGTATTATTCTATAAGAGATAGTATTTTATCATCTTATAATAGTTTCACAAATGAATATTTAAATAGTAACGCGATCATTTAATCAAAAAGTATAGATTCTACCAAAAAAAAATAATTATTAAAATAGAATCGTATCAACTGAGAAAGTTCTTTTTTTTTGAAAACATAAGAATTCGATGTTTTTTTGGTAGAAAAATGAACATACATGAAATAGAATTTAGAAGCAAGGCAGGATATATATGTACTTGTTTTTTTTCTTTAATCAACTATTCTATATCTTCAGTCGACCAATAATAGAGTATTCGTATTTTATACCAAATCAATTACTAACGTTTAAAACAAAAAGGTCGCAATTGATGACAAGCATAATCGAAAATATGTATTACTACGGTAATTGTAAACGAATATGAATAATGGGCACATCTTTATACTGATTGGATGATTTATACATAGAGCATTGCGTGAAGGTGAGGACGTCGTGATTAAAGTGAAGATATTCATAATTTTCAATCAATTCGTCAAATAGCTAATTTGCTTTGACAGAAGAAAAATCATTGAACAAATCTATCATAAGAAAGATTTATTTGTTATAGGATTATGATCAACATATGAATAGATAAGGTTTTCAGAAAGTTAACACAATAGTTGATGAGACTTATGATTTGAATAATTTTTTTTTTGTAATCTTATCGTGGGTTGATATGTTGAGTCGATTGCTAATGAAAGCAAAAAATATATACAGAAATATCTTAGCAAGTATTTGTGTACAACTGATTAAGTGATAAACTGTATTTGCAGGTTATCATAATAAGTAACTAAGAGAATATGCGTCACGATTCTAACAGTTCTTTTTTGTAAAATTGTTGCAGCTATTTCGAACCATAGCGTTATCCTCCTGGAATAATATTATTTCCAACTCTACATCTTCTAGTAGTTTCATATTGGTTGTAAATTGGGCAATACGATTGCACGATTGTCTTCTAATATTCAACAGTATTGAAGTCAGTCTTAAAAAATATTTCGTTAACGCGTTCAAGTTTGAACTTCTGATTAAAAGAAAATTCATCTTTCAATTACTACCCAACGATTTGTAATTTAGGCATTTTGACTGGTCAACATATGATCGATCAACATAGAACAATAAAATTTCTTTTTTGTCGAACGTGTAGTTGGTAAATGGATTCCATTTATAAAGATGTTAAGTCGCAAGCATCTCTCTCTCTCTCTCTCCATTGCATTATAGTTTGGACAAAATTATCCTTAATTTACGTGATTAAACAAAAGAGTATATGAATTGACACTCATCATTATCAAACTTTTAACTTATGTTGCTTTAGTCGAGCTTCATGCGAACTCATAATACTAAAGGCATATATGAAGTACATACAGTAGCGTTCAAAATTGATCATATACCTAACCCATCGTCTTGTTTTTCTAATATCTTAAGATGGTTTCATCATATATTTACTATGTCAAACTAAAAAAAAACTAAAAATGATGCATTTCGATAGCACTCAGCCATTTTTGTGCGTGATTTTTACAAATAATGACTGTAAAAGTAAAATCTAGGCAGCTTCGATTAGTTTTGCAATCTTGCTTGGAAGAGTTTCTTTCCATTCGCCGTCATGAGCAAGAATAATACCAACTGTTCCATTAGACTGTTCGACCCATTCACGAGATCGTCTAATAGTTTCCTTAGCCGTGTCGAGATCTTCATGCAACGATGTACCGTCTTCGTATATAGCAATTTGTTCCTTGCCAAGTAGTATTTGTTTGGAGTGACAGCAGTCACCACCAAGAATGACCATTAAACCATCGTTCAATCGTACTGCTGCCATCATATGTCCTATAACATGACCAGGTGCATGTACGAAATAGAGTGAGCCATCTTTGAAGAAGTCGTATGCATAATCAAATGTAGCCAACGGTGACATCCATTCGTCTCCACCGATTGGTGGGAGCTCCAATGTCTTTATGTTCCCAGAGAAGTGTTCTGCATGAAATTCAGATGACTCATTGTGTGGCCATCCTGGTGAAATTCGCTGCTGTGTTCCTGGTCCGAAGATTGCAATTGTATCGCGAGTAATAACGTCGGCATCCGATTCAAAGAATTGAGAAATAGGATAACAATGGTCGAAATGTGCGTGTGAATATGCCACATACTTGATCTTGGCTCCTGTTGGAATCAATTTCTTGACGGCCACATCCATTGGTTCTTTGCTAAATTCTGGCACAAAGGAGCTGTACTTTTTGAGAGTTGTCGGAGTATATGTAGTTTCTGTATGTGACATTCCCAAATCAAATAACATATATGTATTTGATTGTTGATGTCGAATGAGAAATGAATAGTCGGGCATATAAGCCTTTTCATCTTTTTTTGCCGATGCGTGGACCTTCGACATTGTTGCCATTAGCCCACCTCGAGATAGTAGTGTTACATCGCAAGCAGAATTTGATGTTGGAGGTGAATGATAAGCCATTTTGTTGTCGATGTATTCGTTCGGGATGCAAAATGAAGACTGAATGATGATAAATAGTGCGTCTCTTACCTGATTCTTCTCTCTATTTGAAAAATAATCACACGTGCATGACTCTTACTTCGTTTTAGAAAGAAGCAGCTGCGTCTTTATCAAAAGAGAGAAAAACACACACGAGAAAAAAAAGTGACTTGATTTTTTTCTTTTGTTTCGCATGAGAATAACTTTTAGCTAGCTGTCGACATGAAGTATTCATCGAGAATAAATCGAAATATACTCATCGACCTTCAACAATTCGGTCAGGACATTGAAAAATACTGGTTGATTTCGTTGACAGGTTGGATACGACCAAAAAACCGATGAATATTTTTATTTCTATTGATATGCTATGTACAAACTATTTATTTTATTAAGTCAAGAGGGTGTGACTATGTAGATAATTTTTGACGAAGAAAAAATCAAGAGCCATACTCATAATGCACTTCTCCATAGGCATCTACATTTTCTGATAGAAATAGGAGTCAAAAGTATTGATTTTCGAAAATGCTGATAGTTGTGTAAACCTACTGCTGCTCTCTCGGTTACTAAGCTATATATCAATATGAACACTATCCAAATGATTGTACAATGTTCAGCAACAATATAATGTTGATATGTTTTTATCTTCAAAATGTGATACAAAAGTCACAAAAACTCTCACTATCAGTGAAAAAAGTATCTAAACTTAAATTCTTTGCTCTCATATTTTGATCACAAATAGAGTAAGTTAAATGTTGATCGTAAGAGTCAATCAAGACTTAATCGGTCTTGATAGAGAAGAGCTACAGGGTCAACATGAAGTTTTTTCTTAAGACGAAGATATTTCAGTATAGGAAACAAATCTCATGGCATTTATTCCTTATTTGAGAGCTCAGTGTTGTTTCTATCAGAAATAAGAAGTTCATGTCAAAAGGTCTTAGTTTGTTGAATTTATGACGTAATCTTCGAGTTGTGTCAACATAAGAGTTGATGAGAGTCGTCGAATATGAATCCTTAGTTTCAACTAGTTTCTACCATTCGCATTAAAACTCCGTATTGAAGTCGTTCGAGACAATGGCAGCTTCGCTATCATCCGAAACTCGTTGTAAAAAGATCGATCTATTTTGAGCTAGTGCTTCGGATAATGACTCTCTTTCAAATTCTTATAAGGAAAAACAAAAAATGTTCTGTTTCGTTTCGTTTCGATTCGATTTATTTGATTTAATCAACAACAAAAAGAAAAAGTGTTCATTTTGCAACACCAAGATCAAGATAAATAAGATGTCGTTGTGGTAATAAATGTTTAATATATCGTTTATAATCAAAAAAGTCTGGTAAATTTTCAATGGATAAATTTTCATTTTTGATTAAAAAATTCAATAAATCTTCAGATTCATTTGCATCTAAAGCATCTTCCATTGATGACATTGTTTGAACGAATAATTTTTTATGTAAATAATTTTTATTATTTTGATCAAGTTTTTTAAAACATTTTAATAAATATTGTTCATCAGCTGGTTTATATTCATTCTTAAGTAATTTTGGTATAATTATATCAGCAAAATCGTATATATGAATTAAATGATGTTCAGCATCGATTTCTTCTCGTTCAGTTGTACGTGATAATGGATGATAACGCATAGCTAAATGATCAAATATGAAAGCTTATTTTTTACTTCAAAATAAATCTTACCGAGAATTAATTCATTCATTTCACTGTGAGTCTACACACAAAAAGAAAGCGTGATAGTATTTTTCTTCATCAACTAATGTCAGTATTCATTTTAAAATATTATTTACTAATAAAGTATAGATGCTGCTCCATGTCGATGACAAACCCATCCTGACACTCTCTTTACAATAATCACAAACTCCGGCAAGGTCAACTCGATTTTTGGAAAGGTACATCTCCTAAGTTATTAGGCTCGTTAAAACATTGTATATATAGCAGACAATAGATTACGATATTTCTTCAGATCAGCGACAAAGTGATACTCACATTCTTTGATGTGTTCTGCCAGTGAAACCAACTAGTGTATAGGATGTTGTGAATCTAGAGAGCAACCATATTTATAAATGGATATTTAGTTTTTCAACAAGTGCATGAACTCTATTCACTAATAGCTTTGATGATACACATAGTACTTCAATCATACATTAATGTGTTTAATTATTGAAAATAGAGTGATGAATAAAGATGAGGAGTTGTATAGATCGTGTGAAATCAGCAAAAAAAGTTTTCTTACTATCTTGAAGATAAAACTAACAATCTAGTTAAAGACAAGAAATATGAAATATGAGTATTAACGACGAATATTTAGTGAATTCTTCAAACTGATCAGACAACAAGAGTAAGCCATAGCTGCTATAAAAGTTTTCCATAATTTTCTATAATTTTCTTTATTTTGGATCTTCTGTCTACTATAGTTCTCGCTATTCGACAATGAGTGTAGTTTTCATATTTTCGTAACATTTCGATAAATTCAAAATGTGAATGTCAATATTCTTCCAGCTAGATCATCTACGGATCTATTTCGTAGAGTAAATCTTTGTCCTCGTGCGATATTGTATGTGATTGAAATATTATATGTCTACAAAAAGGATTTTATGGAAAGTGAAATAGGAACACCAGACTTCCGTCAAACATACGACTAATTGTCGCTGTACCAAAAAATCACTGCTCGAAAAAACAATTGGCGATGTTCTCAACAACAAAAAGTATAGAAAATTCCTTTTTTTTCTTTCTAAACAACTAACTGGTACAAATCCAAGTGAATAAATTATATTATGCATATCACGATCAAATACAAAATTTGCTAGATGAGATTCATATGTATAAAAAGATTCAATTAGTTGTTGATAAATTTTTGATAAATCAAGATTAATTCTTTGTTCAATTGGTAAATTTGCGATAGCTTCTCGTAAACCTAAAACAAAAATAGAACGATCAATTATATTATAGAATTTTTTGATAAATAACTTACGATGTTCAACATTGTAATTATCAATATCAATTTTATCTTGTGAAATAATTCGATGTTTTTTTGTTGTCATAGTAAAAGAAATCTTTCTTTCTTTCTTTCTTTTTTTTTAATTAGATTCAAACAATATATGATGATGTTTTTCTGTTTGAATAATAGCTTCTTTTACAGTTTCTGTTTTANTACTAGAACAAAAAGGTCTTTTTATGTAACAACGTTACGCGATAATAAAACCTTTCTAGACGTTCGAGACTTCAGCCGAACAAGGTCGTTCTTATAGCATAAATAGAGTTTGATAAGCTGTGTCGAATGGCGTTTGAATGAACTTTCTAGCTGTTAAACCTTCCGAGTTAATTGAAGAACAGTGTGTCAAAAACGTAACAGCGTTACGTTTGGACAAGCCGTTGGACTGATGTGACTTCTATCGACAAATATGAATATTTTCATCCCCACATTAAAATAGAAATCATTTCAATAAAACTAGTTTAATTCGTGAAAGAATCTTTCTTACAAGGAAAAAAGATTCAGAATGCGTCACATTCAACATTCTTTTTCTCTTGTAGACTTTTCGCATTGGACTTTGTAAATGATTTTGCTAGCCTTTCTCTAAATTATACGATACTTCAATCAATTATTACTCCGAAGCTAGTCTAATGAACGCTTCAGAAGAATCAAAGATTTGAGTATTATTTTTAATTAATAAAATAGAAATTGGCACAGGTCTTTTGAAACTTTGTGCATATGGTAATCCACTTTAAAAAGAAAGCAACGTTCTCTTCTATAGGATTAAAAAGGCAAGGATACCAAACATGGTCATGTCTATATATAACGTTTAACATGAATTGTACCCACTTCTATCTTATTGATTAACAATAATAGTTAAATCTTCGATACTTCTGAACACTTCATTGGAGTCAGTTTAGAACTGATAACTGATTGAAGCTTGATATTAGCCAAAGAATGGCCGATTGAACCACTCAAAAAAGACAAATGTAAAAAGCATGACAAACAAAAAAAAGAATTTTGAAAATGACGTATTCGTTGCATTGTTTCTAAACGAATAAGGTATGTGGTTGTGTTTAAGCAAAAGATACAGATTTGTAGAGAATCGCGAACGAAGAATCTATCAAAATAAAACTTGTTCCATTATATTGAAAGGCTGTTGAAAAATATGCAAGATACTAAAAATTCCATTCTTTATAGACCAACTGTTATATCAATCTGCTGACAGAATTTCAGATCGAAATTCTTTAATTCAATTTTTTTTTTGGATAAAGCCTCATTATAGGTCCAAAATTCAGTAATAGGATTGTAATTTTTGTCGAGAAGACTATCGACAGGTATCCTTTTAGAATTTTTTCAATCTCATCATATCTACTTCTGTTCACGCTACAAAATTGTATTTTAGATTTTTTCTTTATAATTTATTCGAGATTGATTGATAGGATTTCTTTCTTTATGAAAGAATGAATACTTTCATATTTATTGAAAGAAGTTACATCAGTAGAAATCCATTTAGACTTTTTCTTACAATGAGGTTCATCACATACACGCAAAAATATCAATGAAAATAGGCGTACATCACTTGAGGATCTTCCCGAATGAGATCTCAACTTAGAATCGAGCGACATGTCAAAATAACTTGCAAGATTTTAACTGTTGTCCATATTATGTTTAAAATTGTTTACAATTTTTTTTTAATTAGTTTTTTCACAATATTTTCAAATCAAACAAAAATTTACTTTCCAACAACGAATGTAATACATTCTATTTTACATTTATTTACAGTTGAAAACAAAAACAGAACGAAAAACAAACAATGATTTACTTAAAATAAAAGTATTAAAATTCTATTAAATCCATTTCTGAATCAGATGATTTATCATCATTTCTTATTATATTTTCAATTTCTTCAATAATTTCTTGTCCTAATTCATTTGTTGTACGTTGTTTTAATGCTTTCATTTTCATATAACTTTTATATGAACATGTATGACCATAACGATTTAATAATGTTATTATTTGTTTTGGTGTACAATGAAAATCTTTTTTTGTAAATTCATCAGCTAATAAAAAATGTTTTTCTGATATTCGATTATCATGTCGTGCACTAATTAAATCTGATGCTAAACTCATATTTCGTAGGTTTTTATCAAATTTATTTAAAATCTTATTATTACCACTATTAGTAGTAGTAGGAGGAGCAGTATCAAATAAATCTTCATCAATCATACGATAAAAATCATATTGAGTCGAAATTTTATTAAATTGTTTTTCACTTGTTGTTATTAAACCAATTGTATTTCGTATTAATAATGATGGTAATGTATTAAGTTGTTTTGGATCACGAATATATAAACGAATTTTACGAACACCATTCATAACAGCTTCACATGTTTGACGTTTATGATCAATCGGTGCTGTTGGAACAATAATAGACGATAGAATTGAAGCCTGAAAAATTTTTGTCCAAAAAAAATGTTAAATTTTAAGATTAAAAGTTTTACTTCGGTAGCTTTTTCTTTTTCTTGTTTAGCATTTTTAATAGCAAGTCGAATATAATGATCAATATCATTAAGAGCAATAAATGTTCCTTCACGTTTATTTGGTGTTACAAATATAAATTGATTTGAATAAAATTTTTCTAATTGATTTTTTAATCGTTCACGATAAGCAGTTTCACGTGTTGTACTAGTATTTGTTTCTTCAATTAATTCTTTATATTTTATTAATACTTCACCCATTGATATTGGATTTCCAGATGATTTTAATTCTTCTATAAGCCACTTATATAATTTTTCTAAATCAGCTGGAATTTTTTGTAAATAAATATTATTAATGTAAGTATGATCAGATATTAGTGGATTTGTTGGTTTTGCTAATGGTGGTGGTTTTAAATATCGACGACGAATTTTAGCTGCTGTACAAATCTATTTATTATATAATAGAAGGAAAAAAGAAAGTCAATCATATAATATAAAATTATATTGAAATGTACTTTTTGTTTTTTATTGAATATTAAATGAGATGATGATGATGATAATGATGCATGTGTTGGTATCCAATCTGGTGATCGATCTTGTTCGTTTGTTTTTGGATCATTGTCATCATTGTTTTGATTTGAATAAACCATGAAATCATTTTTTGTCAATGCTGTATGAGACAAAACAAAATTAATCGATTGATTCTCATTTCGTTCTCTGTGACCGGGAGCAGGATTTCGAGAAAAAAAGTTGTCCTAACCGAAACTAAAAATCATAGTTAAATATTCTATAATTTTAAGCGAATTATCGTATACATCATCCATCAGAACATAATTCAAAAGAAACTATACAAATAAGTGCTAGTCGTCAACTAAATAGATCAAATTAAAAGAAGATGATAAGCCTTCACCTATCTCAATGTTTAGTCATTTAAAGAATTCATTCTGGAATGGTCAATAATTGAGCAGAACTCATATAATAATAATAATCTAGCTTAAATCAAATAGTGTGTCGTCAATCATTGTTAAGACATGCATGTAGCATATGAAAAGCAAACAATAAGTAACATGAAATTCATAAGAACATATCATAATGCACTTGTACCTTATTATCAAGGTTTATAATTAGTAATTAATTTTTTTTTTCATTCTATATATAACGTGCCTGTAGATTATTAATACTTGTAAGTTGTGTATTTTTCTTGTTATACAAATTATTCTCTTTCTATATTAAATATAATTATGAATCAAAGTAATTCATAATATTTTAGAATGAAACTGAGAAATTATCGAATAGTACTGATTCGAGAGTAAAACAAAACAAAAGCCTACTTTGTGTAATAGATGATCGGACAATTGGTAATTGATCTAGAAGAAAAAAGAAAATTGATTATTTTGAAATTTTCAAAAGAATATTAACTTGTTGTTAATGTATTATTTTCATTGATGATTTCCGATGTTGTATTTCGTTTTGTATAAAATTTGATTTCTTCTGTCGTAAGCTAAAATAAGATAATGTGAATCAATAATCAAAAATAATATCTCTAGAAGAAACTAACTCGTTGTAAACATGGTCGAAATAGACAAGATCGTGCAGTAAGTTCAGCATTTGGATTTGTTGTTGCAACAGATGTATAAAATGGCGTAGAAAATAATCGTTCTATTGACAAATTAGCAGTTTCATCAGTTGTTATTTTTGATGTACAGTCTTTTGATTCTGTTTCTAATGATGATTTATTAAGATTTGTACGACTTCGTGTTTCATGTGGAGAATATACTAATTGACGAACAAATTGTTCTTGATATTGTAAAGGATTTCTATTTGTAAAATTTTTTGATGTATGATATCGATAACTTGAATAAAGTTTTCGAAAACATGATTCATGTATATAAGCATCAAGTAATGATTGACCATAAGGTCGTTTATATATATGAGAAAAACCTTCAGCTAATTTATTTGCCATAAAATTTGATACAATTTGTTTCATTTTATTATGAGATCTATAACCATAACGATTACATATAGCACAAACACGTTGACGACGTTCAAATAAATGTCTATTAACATTTGATGGTAATGGCATACGTGAACGAAATTGAATTAATGATGTCTAAATATTTATCAAAAAAATTTCATAAGAAAATTCCTTTTCAATATGTCAATAATAATTATTCGTATTTCAACAAAAGAACTTTTTTTTGACGTTTGCAGAATAATGTGATTCTGATTTCTTTGAACTATGTTAAGTACATCATATGGAAGGATGGTTATATAAAAATGTACTTCAAATAATAATGTGATTTTTAATTTAAGATTATCTTGCATTATGTAAAGTGTGACGTTAATAGAAGCTAATATCTAATAATGATAATTAATCTCAAACAGGAAAAAATGAAATTGTAATAGGAAATCGGAAAGCATTACCGGAACAGAAATTGAGAAATGTTGTTCCCCCAGGACGCTACAAAATGATTCTAGTCTCGAAACTAAAAACGATTGATTTTGATCATATCTAATTGTAAACTAACATAATCAATAGTTTTATTATATAGTACATGAAAAATATTGAAGTAAATGTTTTCTCTTAGAATGAATATGAATTAGTGAAAAATATATTAATGATTTTCATTTATTTTATTAATTTCTTACGAGGTTTTATGTGATGTAAAAAAAGTTGATTCTTGTGTAATAAAAGAAACAGATAACAAAAATATTTTTTTCTTTGACAGTACCCATTGAAAGATTATCTGTTGAAATTCCATAAAAATTATCACATTATGATATGACAAAGATTAAGATTATCTTTATTTAAAACTTTCAACAAAATATTTGTATGAAATCATTTTTTTTTATCTTGAATAATAATTATTGGTGTATTTATATGTATATTTATCCTAATAACTGTGCTATCATTGAACATTGATGATAGTTCGTCGTTTTTTTGTTCTCTAATAACTTTTCAACACATATTTGTACGGTTAACTAACTGTGATAGACAGTGTCAATAATAGTGTATATGATATTTGTCAAGCCAAGGTCTTGTTGTCATATTAAAGATAACAACATATTTTTTCTTGCCTAATGAGACTTTTCTATCGAAAGTTAGAAGATATGATATTTTTCTACTAACTATGATTTATAATGTTTCTAACCTGTTCTTGTTCTTCATCATTATCATCTTGTTTTTGTTCAATAGATGTTAAAATATCATTTGCATCACTTGATGGTACACCTTGAACTAGTTTATTGTAACATTTTTGATGAACAAGTTGATTTAAAATAGGTTGATTTAATTCTTGTCCATTATATCGACGTCGATAACCTTCAAGTAATTTGTTTTCACGTTCAATTGTATATATACGTGTATAACTTGATCGAGTTTTACGATCATAACGTTTACAAATAATACAAAAACGTATTTTATTTGGCATAAATAAAAAAAAGAGACTTTTTGATATTTCAAATTGCAAAGAACATCTGTCGAATAGTTGTTTCCTTTAGAAGATTTATTTATTAAAGCATACATGGAGAGGAGAATAAGACAACAGAAAAATATTGATTTATTTATTGAATAATTATTCATTTTAATAAAATTGTATTGAAAAATACTAATTTTATATGGAGTTCATTAAGATTTATATATTTCTTATAGATGTCGACCATGTTTGTTTAGATCATTAAAGAGATTCACAGATAAAATTTGATTGATTCATACGATAAACCAATAAAAATAAATCTAAATATTAGTTTTCATCCTTCCGGTTCTTATTATCATATTAGCTGTTTTATTATTTGATAAGAACATGGGTTATTGTCCAACGCCCCCAAGTGAATTTGCTGCTAGAAATCTTGATCCATTATGCAATGGTCAACGAATGTGGACAACATTTTTATTTTCATCATTTTTCACTCTATTTGGTGGGTGGATTCTTATTCTTACATATGATTTTATAAAAGCATTGTTAATAAAACGTCGTCGATTGAAACTTATTTCAGTAATCAAACGTTTAAGTCACACAGAAGAAGTAATTTTATACAACAAAAAAAAAAAATTCATTTGAAAGAAAAATTGAACTAAAATTTTTTAATAGTTTTCAACAAGACGAGCAAGTTTATTATGGACATCAACTGATCGATTTAATAATGATGCAAATGAAGATTATTTTAGTTGGTTACAAGCAATTAAAGAATGGGAAAATAATTTAATATCTGGTCAAACAAAAATGGGAAAAACTTTGGTTTGTAAATTTTTATCTTGTTGTTTTCTAGTTTAAACATCGAGTCTAGTTTATTTCTTTTGTTGATTTGAATAGGTTGGTGTCATTTTTATTTGTAGTATTGCTTCATTAGTACTTTATTTTGTCGATACGAGAAATACGTAAGTTATTATGAAAAAAAAAAAAAAAAACAATATCTTAACATAGATAATAATAAATTAGATAAAACTACTAAAAAGTTAATTTCTCATGAGATTTACATTTTTTATTGAAAAATAATTTCCCTTTATTTTTAATGCAATAGATGCGCATTTTTTATTAAGCTCGACTTGTTGTTTATTGAAACAGTCGGAAATATTTGTTTGAAATGTTAAATAATATTTATGGTATCATGCCATCGTGAACTAATATATGAGACATCTGTTAGGCGAAGAGTAATCAAGAAAATCGTTTTTTGTGACCTAGAACGATGTAAGTGATATAAGACTGGAAGCAACAGTTAGCATTCTCTCTTTCGGGAACGACAGATTTTACTGTCACACATACAAAAGTGGCATAAAAGGCAGCTCGCATTAATAATATCAAAGAATTAAAATAAACAGAAATATTGATCTATGCATACATAATGCCCTAATGAATCATTTAAAATTAAGATGAAAAACTAATCGATGATTTGTTGAAAGTAATTGAAATATTGATGATGAAAATCCTATAAACAATTCTAATCATTTGATTTCATATGTAATTCATTACTAAATGGTTTTTAATGCAACTATGTTAAAAGAACAGGGACGTTGATTCATGTTGAAAATTACTCTTTTTTGTTTTAATTCTATCGAATGTACTAAAATCAATAAAGACAAAAAGAAAAAAAAAAAACGAATTCTAATAAATATATACTTATTTAGATTTATTGAATCATGTACTGAATTTAACAAATCGTTCACAATGCAAGCTGATCTTGGTCTTAACGTTCTTTTTCTAGTTTATTTTTTTCTCCGGGTTTGTTTTGTTTTTCTTACCCCTCCCCTTCTATCCAATTTCAAAACAATATTCAATGTAAATTTAGTTTACTGCTGCACAACATAAACGACGTTTTTGGTTTAGTTTATATTCAATAGTTGATATGTTTACTATTCCACCTTCATTTGTTGCTTTATACCTTAATCGAAATTGGATAGGTAAAATTCGAATGAAGTTTTGTTTTTGTTCAATGATTGTTATCTTAATTTATTTGATAAATCATAGGCTTTCGATTTCTTCGAGCAATACGTATAATGAATATTCCAGATATTCTTCAATATATGGGTTTAATTGAACGACCACGTACAATACGTATTGTACAATTAGCTTCACGATTTATTGCTGTATGGGTTGCAGCTGCTGGTGCAGTTCATTTAGCTGAAAATTCTGGAGATTTTTTTTGTAATTTTGAAAATGCTCAAGAATTAGATATATTCAATGCAATCTATTTTATGATTGTGACAATGACAACAGTAGAAAATGAATATAAAATTTTTATCTTTTATTCATCATAATAATAACTATTATAGGTTGGTTATGGAGATGTCTATTGTAAAACATATACTGGAAAAATTTTTATGCTTTTATTTTTGATTGCTGGTTTGGTAAGATATTTTTGAATGGTTCTTTTGTGTTATTATTGTTTTGATAATAGGCATTTTTTGCAACAATGATTCCAGAATTTTCAAAATTATTTGGATCCCATGGAGAATATTCAAGTCGTTATCGAATAGTAAAAGGCAAACGGTAAGAATAATTATTTATGTTTTAAAACATAGGTGAAAACAAATATTTTATCTTTTCATTCATTTTCTGAATGATTAAATGAAGACGATTAGATTTTGCACATAATATAACTACTTAATTTTATGAAACACATTAATATTTGAAGATCTTTACGCATCGCTAAAAAAAGCGTACGCAAAGAGAAGGAACATTTTGCTAAGACAAAAAAAGTCAGATGGAAATTCATTTTTTATAGTTGTTTTTTTTTTTCATACTGCTATAAAAGGATAGAATACGATCCATGATCAATAAATTAGATAAAAAAAAACTTGTTTTTGAAAATTCATGACAGCTAACTGAAAAGCAAACAAAGACTTTTAATATTTCTTTTAATTGACATCATTTCAAAATTTGTCAGAAAATAATACATTCTTATTAATATCGTTAACGATGAATGATCAATCAGAATTATTGATTTCATTAAATGTAAACCAAAATCAATTAATAAATCACGTCTAGATAATTTTATTATTATTGATGAGATATAAGTGAAACATGATAGAACGAAGATATATATATAAAACATTACAATACATTCGACTTTAGAATGAGAAGTCATTTGCATTAAATACTCAAAAGTTAATAATATATTCTATGTTGGCTTATTTGCGTATTTACTATTGATTGAGCTTGATATGAAAAGATATTCAGTTCAGTGCCATGCAGTCTAATACTTACAATTTTCTTTTGAAAATATTACACTGAATTTCATTTAGAGATATTGTTTTTTTTTTTATTGAATTAATCTAAAGATTGACTATTTAATAATGTATATTTGGTTTCGAGTTAGCGTGTGAAAGTTGTTTCATCAATAATCCCACTGGATTTATTTGACGATGCAGTTATAGTAGGTCCCAAGACTAACGAGGAAAGTCTCTGAATTAATTAATCGCTTTCGAGTTGAAACTATATGTATATGTATCATTTATACCCAAATGAATTTTGAATATCAGAAAAAGAGTTCGTGTCCTAAGTAATTTATTGTTGTTTGGATACGGAAAATTTATGATTGTTTTTAAATGAATACCGTAGTTTTCCTTGCAAAAAAAAATAGAAAAACTGATTTTTGGGATTCGACTTGACATTTTATACAAAGATAGGCTTTGACGAGAGTTATTTGAAGCTTTTTTATTTGCTTCTATTCTGAACTAAGAACATGGAATCTACCAGCATATATAAGCGATGTAAATGAAACGCTATTTGCATAACTGCATCTCAAGATAAGAGCAAGGACATGATCTGAAAGATTCATAAGAAATTATTCTCGTTTTGATGTGTATCGAGACAAAGTTTCAAGTTGAAATTCGAAAAAAAAAACAGTTTTTCTGATCTTCCTGAAGTTAACCACGACATTTATTTATACATAATGCACATAGTCTCGACTCAAAAGAAATTTATGAGTTGGAAGAGTTCTCTCATAAGATTGTGCTTAACCCAAAGAGATGAATCCTTTATTCAATGATCATCATCGTTTTTAAGATAAGAATGTTATCTATTCCGTGAATAAGATCTATAATTTCTGGTTAACGTATTACATATGTGAATTGTTAATAACGAAGGTCTATTTATATGCTGATTCACGTAGTTACTAAATGAAAACTCGATCTAAAATGGCAATTTAGAATGTAAATATAGTTAGCGTTTGAAAACTAAAGGAAAAATCTTTCTTAAAATCTTATTAAAATATTTATTTTTAGTCATGTAGTCATTTGTGGACATATAACACCTCATTCAATGACAACATTTCTTCGTGATTTTTTACATAAAGATCGTGATCAAATTGAAGAACTTGATATTGTTATAATAAACAAGTATATTATTATCCTTGGAAAATAAAAAACAAAGTTCAATGCATTTCTTTTCTTTTTCTTTAATTATAGAAAAGTTCCAGGAATCGAAATGGAAGCATTATTAAAACGATATTATACAAAGGTGAAATATTTTATTGGTACTGTAATGAATGTTGCCGATTTACATCGTATTCAAGTAAATATTTAATCGATAAAGATATAAAAATCAAAAAATTAATGTTTTGTTTTTCTTTGTGAATAATAAGGTTAATAAAGCAACAGCATGTTTAATAATTGCTGATAAAGAATGTCCAGATCCTGATGGTGATGATTCTGCAAATATAATGCGAGTAATTAGTTTAAAAAATTTTAATCAACGTATTCGAGTTTTATTACAACTTCTTCATTATAAAAATAAAGTAAAATATATAAAAATAAATGAATATATTCAAGTTTTTTATTTTTAATAAATAACATTATTTCTAGATGAATGTTGCATCAATACCAGGTTGGAGTGCAAAAGATGGCGATGAAATTATTTGTATTGCCGAATTAAAACTTGGTTTAATTGGAATGTCTTGTATTGTACCAGGATTTTCTACGATGGTATAAATCAAATTAAATATATACGTAGGATTTTATTTGAGATGAAATTTTTATAGATGACAAATATTTTTCGAATGTCAGCTTACAAAAATCGTGCAGCACAAGAATTGGTATGTAGAAAAAAAAAGTCAGATTATCACAGAATTTAATCAATAGCTTCACAGATTGTAAAGCCTTATCCGCAAAACATCTCTTCTCCCGCCCCTCCCCCCTTCGACAAACGATGTAATAGAACTTAGACTTTTAATTAATATATTTACATTCTTTTTCGAAAGTAAAACAATTAATGAAATATAATCGAAAACGGGAGGTCTTCTTTTGTGGGGAGAAGATTTGTCGCCACATACGGAGTGAATATCTCTCTATTTATCGTACCAAAATGAAAAACTATATCGGCAGTTTCATTCATTAGCGATGCGACTTTTGAAAATAAAAATGCTTGTATCTCTGAAGTCTCGAATCTCTTTTAACTAATTTTTATATTTCGAATATATGTTGATTTAGTCTAGATACTTCTAAAAGCTCAGCCCTATGAATATTTGTTCTGCCAAGTTATTATTTAAAAAGTCTCGTTTTGAGATATGAGCAGATCTTTGGATAATCGATTTTTCTGAAAGTTTCACCATAGATAATGTTTATGAGATGGAGTCCTATTCCAAAACTCTTCTACTTGTCCTTTATCAAGTTAGAGAACTATTCGCTAATTGTATTTTAATTAAATTACTAATTAGCTAAAAGGCATCAACGTGTGACAATTGATACTGTTAGATATTAACTCTTTGGTGGCGGGGTTGTTTTGGAAAAATAAAGTTTCTTATATAAGTGACAGTAGATGTTGATTCCATCAAAAAACCATTATCGGAAGTGTTTTAGGGTATAATAAGCTTTGAAATAAATAATTACACATAATAAATTATACAGACTATTTCCACTTACTTTTGATTGATTTGGTATATATATCATCCCTGGATTTTGAGAAATACTCGAAGTGACATATATATAGGCCACGCCCGGCACCAAAGGGTTAAATTAACCGACTTTTAACATAATAGTATCGAATTAAGAATAATTATAACCATCAGATAATGAATATTTTTCTTGCTTACATTTATTTACATTTTCTCTAATTGAAATTTTAAAGACAAAATTCTGCTTTTTGTAATCTATTGAATGGCATGCATATTTGAATATTATAATATCGTGAAATTAGTTATAAATTACAATTTCATGAGATAACATTTTCTTCTCATAGAAATACATCTGTTGTAAATATGAAAATCTAAATGATGTGAGTGTAAGTCTTTGTATAACTATAGTATTGTTACTAGACATCTGCATCTTGATCACAGTCGTCACCAAAGCAAAAAAGAAAACGTTTTTCGCCACAGTTTTTCATAAGAAGACTAATTAAAGTTGAACATGTTGTTCAGAATTTTCTCCTCTTCAAAATGCCGTATGAAGTCTGAAAATACAATAATCTCGAGCAGAAAAAATTTAGGGCGCTGGTCACGACCCATGCGCTACATTTTTCTTTGCTGAAGATCGTTTTACCATCAAGCTTCAAACGATATTGTGAAGAAGAGAAAATTTTGACCAAAACGTTCAACTCTAATTATTCTACTAATCTTTTTATGCAAAGCTATGATGAAATTCTTTTTTCCTTGGTCACGACCGTAACTAACAATGGAAGGTCGCCAACTGATAGTTAAGGAAATTGACCATATTCGGGTCAAATGAAAGCTCTCACCGCCAAATTAACAAATTTAAAATATTACATGCCCATAGTGTACCTAGAGCAAGTTACTTAAATTTCAAGGTATGTAAAATTTAGGCATAACAATGAATCAGGAAAGACTTTCTCCACTATTGTAAGGACAAAACATAATGTTGTTCGAGCCATATGAAGCAGGGCTCATCTGAAGCCCTAATCGGCCCGAACAACATTATGTTTTGTCCTTACAATAGTGAAGAAAGTCTTTCCTGATTCATTTCTGTGCCTAAATTTCACATACCTTGAAATTTAAGTAACTTGCTCTAGGTACGCTATAGGCATGAAATATTTTAAATTTGTTAATTTGGCGATGAGAGCTTTCATTTGACCCGAATATGGTCAACTTTCTTAACTATCCGTTGGCGACCTTCCATTGTAAGATGCAGATGTCTAGTTGTTAAATATATGCTTAGAATCAAAATGTAATTTCCTTTGTTTTTAATTTTTTTTTTCTCATAGACACAATCTTGGAAATGGCGTGAATTATACCATCGAGGTGCAGCTATGGAAATGTATCTTGAAGAGTTACCACGTTCATTTTATGGAAAATCCTTTACTGAAGCAGCTTTGTATGTATATTTGTAAACGATAAAATTTTTTTCGATATTAATAATTTGCTTTTTAAGAATTTGTTTTAAACTTCGCGTAATGATATTAGCTGTTGAAATGAAGCATACAGATGAAAATGGAAATACGAGAATGATTGTTGAAGTTGCACCAAAATCTGATTGTACTATTATTTGTGGTACTCGAGCATTTATGGTTTGTAGTTCCAGTGAAGATGCAAAAAGGTTATTTACATTTAAAATTATTTATTTATTTTTTGATCATAAATTCTTTTTTTCTTTTTATAGAGTGAAATATTACTGTGCTATTTGTTATCCAGATATTGATCGATTAACAGAAACACAATTAAAACGAATGAAACAATGTCGACATGGTAAAATATTATATAAAGAGTGTCCCATAATAACTGATGATAAATTGTTTTTGATATTTTTTACACTTTTTGTTGACCTAGAGAGCTGAAATTTTTATCACTTATGTATCTAATGAAGATCTTTTATTTCTAAAAGTTTCAGCTCTCTAGCTAAAACTGGAGATGAAATGCATCGAGAAGACTAAAATACATAAATTTTCGAAAATGATTTTTCAATATTTTTTTACAGTGAAAATATTGCAAGGTAGTTTCGTGGACAATCAACCAAAAAATCACAAAGTATTCAGAAAATTTTCTTTCGTATCCAACTTTGTAGAACGTTTTTCGCTCATCATTTTGGTGAAAAAAATTTTGAATTTCATTGAAAAATAATGATGTTATAGACAAAATACTAAACACTATAAAATGTAAGTAAAAGTCGATTCACATATCTCAAAATGGCTATATTCTGGAAAAATGTGACATAGTAGACTTTGTAGAGGAAACTGTGCTCTACAAAATACTATATAGTCGGTTTCTTAGATACAGGTGAATAGGATGAATAAACCTCGATTAAACATTGTATGCGATATTTTTATCAAAAAATCTGACATCTTCTGTTTTTACGATAAATATTTTTGACTATAATATCGTCATTTCTCAGTGAAATTCGAAAAGTTTTTTTACCAAAATGATCAGCGAAAAAAAGCTCTACAAAGTGGAATGTGAAAGAAAATTTTCTGAATACTTTGTAATTTTTTGGTTGACTATCCACGGAGCTGCTACGCCGTAATATTCAGTACGAAAATTTATGTATTTCAATCTTCTCGATGCATTTCACCACTAGCTTTGATTCGAGAGCTGAAACTTTCAGAAATGGAAGATCATGATTAGATGTATACGTGATAAAAATTTCAGCTCTCTAGATCAACAAAAAGTGTAAATAATATCAAAAACAATTTATCATCAGTTATTATGGGACACCCTTTATATATATATATGTAATTTAAAATAAAAAACAAACGATTTTTTTTTCTCTACCAGTAGTTGTTGAAGATATGATACCCGATGAAACACTTACAGCAAGTGAAACATCACTGGAAAAAGAAAAAAATAAAAGTACTATTGTGTATGTTGAATTTTCTTGAGAATAAATTTCTTTGTGCTTTTGTTTTTTGAAAACATGTTGTATCATTATTTTTTTGTAGACGGTTATTGGAAGCTGATATTCGTCGACCTTTACTTCTCTCTCAACCAGAACCAACAGATTCAATATCACTAACACAAAGTGAACCGTGCGTATAATTTATTATTCTATATCTATATAGCTTATGTATGTACCAAATATTGTGATGTGCTTATGTCGTCATGTATGTTGCTTTGTATCTATATTTTTGATTGCATGTAAGTCCTGCAAACTTGTACTTTATTCTATTATTTTATAATTGAGTTTTAATATGTTTGTTTGCTTTATTTTTTTATAAATCAGAATTACAGAAGAAAATCTATCGAGTTTTGATTCAACTGGAATGTTTTATTTTACTCCACCAAGACCTATTGAAGAAGCTGTTCTTGTATGTAGTAATCATAGAATAAAATGAATTTATGGATGATTTTTTTATCGTTATTTATAGCATATGGAATGGCTTCGTGAACGTCGTCTTGCATTTCGTCGACAGAATACAATAAAAAAAGATAAATCTCAGTCGGCTCAACAACAAGAATCTGTACGACCTTCACATCCTGTTCATTTTCAAGATCGTAAGTTATAAATTTTCAAGAAAATCATCACAATGATATGATTAAGAAATACTAAAAGTAGTGGCGAAGGTATTTTACTTCCTTATAGAGAGTTTAAAGAAGCTTTTTCTCTATAGTTCTCTGATATTTGATCATTCTTCAACTCCTATCATAAGAATAAAAGTTCGACAAGAGCTGTTTGTTGTTGTATGTGACGATAATATCAAATCAGTGTCAATAGAACAAAAAAGTAATATAGAAACAAGTTGATCAAGTCTTCATTTTTATTAAATATTTGAAATAATCATCCTAGATATTTACACTCAATTACATTTGTTGAATCGATTTTTCGAGCACTTTATCGAATTATTGTAATCTCTTGAACTTTATTCGATTAAGTCAAATAACCAAAAATCATGTGATGCCAAATCCATAGAATTGAGTAAAAACGTGATTGAACTTATTTCTCTATTTCTGTTTTATTCGACTACAAGAACTTTTCCACATCTCTAATATTAGTTGCAAAATGATCAAATAATTCCTCCTAATTTAATCGAAAATTAAAAAACCGAGAAAATAAATTTGAATCAAATGTTTACTATTGAAAAAGAAACAATAGAGGTGAAGCAAAAGCAAAAGACTTTCATATCTTAGTTTACTAACGTTAATTAATGTTTGCATAGAATAATCATAAATTTTTTGCTACAAATAAAGATAAATTATTGAGAAGATCATATTCATTATATCAATTATACAAGGTGTTTATTTGATTTCGTCATGTTCTTGACTGTTTACTTTTCTGTTTCGATATTGCTTTATTCATCACACACAGACTAGCACAACACCTTTCGAATAAAATTCAGATAACCGATGAAATATTAGAGAAATGTTGAGCATTATTTTTACTATCAGATCATATAGAGAAAAAAAGTTTTTTTCTTTTAAAATATTAAAATATCTTTGCTACTTTATTTTGTATGTCCTAATTAATTAATAGTTAATTTCATTTAGATGTTATTGTGTGTCTTCATGCTGATAAATCATCACCAACAATTGGTTTACGAAATTTTGTTATGCCTCTTCGTGCTAGTTCATTTCATCGTCATGAATTACCTACAATTATATTTGTAACAGATCTTGATTATATTAAAAATGAATGGGATATGATATCAACATTTCCTGATATTTATATTCTTAATGTAAACATTTTTTTTTTTTCTAAACACAACCTTAAAGGAATATTAAAGTTTAGGAGTAAAAAGTCTAGAGCTCATCGTCCTTTGTACATTTCTGAAGAAGACATGTATTCAAAAATAGATAGAATAAAACAATTTTTTTGTGATTAGCCGTATTTCATATTTTAATTCTGCACAGATTGCACTAACAGCTTTTTTTCTTACATTATAAAATTTTTTCTTATTATTAGGGTTCACCAAGTAATCCTTATAATTTACAATTAATATGTATTCAAGATTGTCGTCAATGTGTTATTATATCAACATTAGATCGTGAAAATCAAGATACATATTTAGTTGATAAATCATCTGTACTTTGTACATTAAATATTCGACAAATTGAAATGAAATCAGCTGGATTTGTATCAATTATGAATTTAACTGGACAAAATTCATTTGATATAAATACTGATCAAACAATGGCTTTACTACAAAATAGAATTCGTACATTAACAACATTAAGTAATATTAAGTTTTTATTTGTTTTCAATGAAGAAAAAACAAATCACTTTTTAATATTTAGCAATTGATTCAAATGTTCAATATGTTGAACAAGGTAAAATTCAATATTCAATAAGAAAATTCTAAATAGATTTTAATTAAATTTATAGGTGATACAGATGAAGTTGAATTAGAATTTTTTTTAACAACACCATTTGCATCTGGTATAAATGATTGACTTGTATTGTTTTTTTTTTTTGTTCTATTTTATTAAAGAAATCGTTTGTTTTTCTTTTAAGGATCTGCATTTGCTGACAGTGTACTTGATTGTATTTTAAGTTGTGTAAGTTTTTTTTTTTACATGAATTCAAAGAAAAATAATTTAACATAGAAAAAAAAAAACTATTCATATTAAAGGCTTATTATAATGATAATGCAGTTAATTTACTTCGAAATATTTTAACGGGTGGTGTTGATTTACAATTAGAAGAAATTTTAGCTGAAGGTGGTGGTTTTACACGATGTGAAGCAGTAGATATATTAAAAAAACGAAATCGTGCTCGTGTTGCTATATTAGAAATTCGTGAATTAATACCAGATATTGATTTAAGAGTAAACGATTTTCTTTTTTGTTTGTTTTATTTTTATAAATATATTCATTTATTATTAAATAGTCAAGTCCAGTTACTTTCAATGTATTATTTTGTGAAGTTATTCAACGTTTTCATATGATTGTTATGGGTATATATCGTTTATTAGATATACTTGTTCGAAATGATCCAACAGTTGATGCTAATAAAATAACCGGTGGTCATAAACGTATTGTTATTTGTTATCCACCATATAATTATCATATAGATCCATCTGATATGGTTTGTGGAAGTTCTTTTTTTTCTCTTGTCTGTTAAAAAGATTTGAAGAATCATTTTTTTTAGGTCTACGTAATGCAACAATCACGTCCTTATAATGATCAATATTCAAGACAAACCTCTGCAACAACAACACAATTTCGATAAATATTTTGTATATTCTAATTAGTTGTTGTATTTTATCGTCATTTTCTTTTCGATTATTATTAGCCTTAGTTATATGTATTTTAATTTTTTTTTCTTACTCAAAATATAAACTTACGATTCCTTTGAATTAGAAAAGTAACTTTCAAAGTTTTCGAGTATGATTATTTGAAAGAATAAACTCAAGAAGAAAAAAGTCATTTAAAGTAGACGAGAAAAATAATAAGTGCGGAAGATCTTTGTACGGTTGCAAGCGTAAAGACAGTGAGTCGGTAACTGTCGTAATCTAACTGAGCCATAAATACTGTTATAGGGAATATATGTATATATGACGGATAAATAAAAACCATTGATCCGTGAAAACATCGATAATAATAATAGATAAATAACTTAATTGACTTGGTGTTTTTGAGGAAAGCTATTAAGCTAGAACTTGAAAACGATGTATTGTGCTTTTTCTGAAAAAAATCTTACGATAATGTGTTTTGAATGGATTTAATGTTATCATCATGTTTTATTTGTGATTAAGTAATACTTGTCAAATGAGACGAAATTTCTGTAGGAGTGCTGCCATTATTTTATAGATTTGAATGTCATTCCAGTTTATTTAAGTTTACGAGCAACTAAAGTTCTGATTGTGTACAAAAAATGCGAAAATTTAAGTGTTTATATTGAAATGCTTCAACTAACGAGATATGTCGATTTCGTGTGTTTAGCTTAGTATTGTAGAGATACTGTAAATTTACGATACTTTATAAATAATATGTTGTGATTGTTTTCAGAAACATCAGAAAATTGATTTTTGAAACGAGAATAGTATTTTTTATAAATCTTTCAGGTTTTATTGCTGATCTACTCCTAATATACAACGATGATAATAGCATAACTTTCATATCGATCATATAAACCGGCAGATTTGATTCTCGTATTTTAGGATAGGAGTAAAGTTTTCTGATAAACTNCATTTATCTCGACTTGAGAAAATGATAAAATCTTGATGTTTTTCTTAAAAGATGCACCGTGAAAAGCTCTACAAAAACTGTATAAAGAAATCTCTATTAACTGGTTCTGATGGTTTTCCGATGCTTAATACGAACAACCTACATGGTGGCGCTATGTCCCACCGTATTGAGCATTGGAAAAATGTTTGAAAGACCTTTTTCGTTTTGCAATAGGGATTTGTTCATACAGATTGTGAAGAGCTTTTAACAGCGCACCTTTGAAAAAAAAAATCAAGATGTTGTCATTTTCTCAAGCCGAGATAAATGCAAAATACAAAATGTTGCAAAACTTTTGGAACACCCGGTATATGCTCTTACAGATCATAAGCAAAAACAAAAAGAAGAGTCTTTTTCTTACGAAACGGTAATAACGATAAATATTCATACCCAAGTAAGTAAAAAACGGATGAAAAGACTCGTCATTGGTCTAGTCGTGATGGTAGTTAAATTAAGAAAACAAAAAGGAAGTACATTCACGATGGTGCATACGATGACATGTAGTCTTATGTAGTAATGTTGACGTTGAGTTCGAATCAGTCTTAACAGATAAATGTGTTAGAATCCCATACTATAAAGACTTCGAGGAAATCTTGCATATATCTGATCAAAACTTGACATGATGTCAATCTTGTTACCTTATTGTAACAATTGATTTATTTCTATATGACGAAAGAAGGGTGTGGGTGTAGGTACTAGTGAAGAATAGAAACATGCATACCCATCTACGCCATTTCAATTTCAGATTTGGATATTATTCAATATTTAATACGTAAGATCTTCACTTCAAGTTTATAGAAATCATTCTAAAATTCTCCAACGTCTAATAATAGCTTTCGCTGAATAAGATTCGATTTTCTATATGACGAATGAAGTCCTCACCTGGTAATTCTAGAAAGCTAACTAAATTGTTATATTTTCCTATGGGTGTTTAAATGATATTCGTATTAGTCTTCTCAGTGTTTCATAAGCAGAACTGATCACGCTAGGACCGTATCACGATCGTTCTTCGAACAACTTGACATAAATTCGCAAAAACCCCAAAGAAGTGCACCTCTATTTTCTATGCGAATATTTACGATACCCTTTGCCGGAATATCATTTATCATTCAGAAAATCATGTGATCATAAATATTCTCCAAGCAAATAAACAGCATCCTGAAATTCTTATTTTTGGCATCCTCGTTACAAGATCCTTATAAAATGCTGGAAAGAGTTTAAACTTGTTATTACTGCTACTGATAATAAAAACTATGAGTAAAATCTCAATGTTTTTCCACGATAAGTAACATACTATTAGCATTAGACTTCTCAACATTTTTAAGAATGCTAACTCCTGTAATAATCTCCTAACCTCCTTAGAAAGAGCTTTCCATAATTTAGAAAGATCCAAATAGAATCTTCTCAGTTTTTCTTTCAATGATTTAAGCTTCCGTAAGATTAGCATTACTATTCTCAGTATTTCAGAAATGCTTTTTCCCGAAAAAAACTCTTTTTGGAATCTCAAAGGATTCTTATAATAATCGTTATGAAGTTCTTCTTTGTTACATAGGAAACTAGGAAAGATTTCTCAATTCATATCTGTTGAGGGGGGGGGGGCGGGCAGTGGAATATAGGTGTTGCTCACACACACCCAACTCATTTGAACTCTCAAATTTCATCTATTTTCAAAAAATGTTAAAGTATTACTTAGAATGGTCTTAAATCTTTTTTTTTAATCATCTAGTTCTGTTCATTGACATCTGTTGAATAATAATGACCTGGATAATTCATTCTCATGGGCGGTGCAAGCTCAATTTTTTAGGGGAAGCAATAAGCCTTAGAATGAGACAGAGTTGGAACCGGCTCGGTCGAACTGGACTGATGCTGAACCAGCTGAGATTGCCAGACCGACTGGTCAGCACCGGTTTTTACCGGTATAAAAATTTCTTTTTAGTATGCTATTTTTCTTTGATAAAATATGTCGAGACCAAGTTTAAACGCATTTATCAAAATAGTCAAACAGTATTGTTTCAGAAATTATCAGTTTTATCTTTTTCTGCTTGTTTATACTTTTTATTTCTTTAATTGACCTGTGTTTCGCTTCATGAAAAACACAATCAAAACTGTGTTACTTGAGATTAATTTCTGAACTTACCTGGTTGATGTTTGGTTGAAGACTAGATTTGGGTTTGGACTGTCGTTCTCAGAGGAACACTAGTTTTTTTAGTAAAATATGAGTGAAAAACGTCAAGAACTGCAGTTTAGAAATCCGTTGGTGGTTAACTTGTCTACTTTTCGTCCTAGAGAGATATCACAAATTCATCTTGAGAAATCGTTAAAACCTTGAACGACTCTGACATGATATTTTCTCTTAAATGGTTCTAAACATGCGAGCAGAAAAAGGAAACTGATTGGTTTTTAAAGCTACTTCCTTCAACCGATTAAAAGTGATCTGACAAGCCGACCGGTTTCAACACTGAAATGGGACTATATTCCCCCATCGAGATGTAGTTGAAAGCTCGACAGTAAAGTTTTTTTTTCGAAATTAATTTCTCAAAGACATAGTAGCGGAAGCTTGCATATTAATTTATTTGATAGCATAGTGAGAGTTTGAGAGTAGTGTAACGTTTTTCTATTGAGGACAGATGCATTCAGAGCGAGTGAGCAAAACTCAAGTTTCTTTTTTTGTTATTACCTATTGCTCACCAATCATTGAGTTTTCGAGTTGATACTCATGTGAAAGATTGTCTCCCATTGATCAACTATTCCTTCTTGATGAAATTATAAAAGTAAGAATCAATTGAAAATATTGTAGTCTTCTCATTAAAACTGTTTATTTAATTATTTATATTAGCAGCTAGTTGATCTCCTTTATGAGTACGTTCTTATACGGAGATCATGGGCGAAAGCAGAAAGAACTACAAATTTAATTTACTTGATAATCAAAAGTTCAGAAAACATGAAGCAATAACATATACGGATGAAACATGAACAATTAGGAGAAGCAATTGCTAACTCGTTGCTTGCTGGTGCGCAGTCTATGTTCATTCTCATATTCTTTTATTAATATTGTATCGTATTAGTCGAGATTCTCTCAACTTTGAAGCTTATATGTAATTTTACAAAACATGCCGTTATGTATCCTACGATTGACTGATTGTCCCGTATTATGCACTGTTGCATATTTTCTTGATTCTCATGAAACAAATGCACTGACCTTTCGAGTTTATGTCATTAGCCTCTTTTTTTTGTCAAGGAAGTAATTACTTCTTCTTGTTCCTATTGAGATTTCAATGGAAAAAGATCATGAAATCATTCATGTAATAAAAAGAAATATATATTGACTTTTTTGAAACCCATGCGCCTTCGACTATTTTAAGATCATCTATGTTTTCTTTGATATCTCTAAATTCATATCTTTTCTACATGTCGCTTTTACGATTATTATTTGTATTATGATATGTATAACAGTATGACACTTTGTTCTTAAAAAAAAACAATTTTTATAAACCGTCTGACAGATATCAAGTTCTAA